CACACACACACACACACACACACACACACACACGCACATACATTCACAGCCTCACAGACGCATGATCGTGCAGACAGACAGGTGGACACAGAACATGGGTGGCACGGATTCTCCAAACACAGCAGCAAATGCAAAGTCTTTTCCCTCCAACTTTGGGAGCCTCTGGTTGACTGTCGTGGCTGGATTTGTCTCAGTGGCTCTGTCTGGCTAAATCTGCTGTTACAGGTGCACACGGTGCCTCAGTCTGTGGCTGCTGGGCACACGGTAGGTGCACGGGGACAAGTGGGGACGACCTAGCTGCAGCCATAGGAATAAGATAGGGTGCGAATGTGTGTGCCCTGGGAAGGCTGCCCCGACCTTCCCAAGCTGGCCACCAGGGTGACCTGCCCCCGCCCCCTCCCCTGCGCAGGAGGAAGACTCGGGATTACACCATCAAGGTGCACATGAACCTACTGCTGGCTGTCTTCCTGCTGGATGTGAGCTTCCTGCTGAGTGAGCCCGTGGCCCTGGCAGGCTCCGAGGCTGGCTGCCGGGCCAGCGCCATCTTCCTGCACTTCTCTCTGCTCGCCTGCCTCTCCTGGATGGGCCTTGAGGGTTACAACCTCTACCGACTCGTGGTCGAGGTCTTTGGCACCTATGTCCCTGGCTACTTGCTCAAACTGAGCATCGTGGGCTGGGGTAAGTTGGTAGAGGGTGCTGGTGGGCCCTCTGGACCTGCCTCTGCTACGTGGCAAGACCCGGGCACCTGGTTCCTCTTCTTTGCTTACCTCTCTGACTGCTCCCTCACCGTTTCCTTTTACCCACCCACCCACCCACAGGTGTTCTTTACCTGGGCTGCAGGTTAAGGTCCCCTTTAGGAAGATGAGATGGTGAGCACTGCCCCAAGAAACACATATTCTCCACATTGCTCACTCTTTTAAAAGGGGGGTTTGCTGACATAGCCACCACGTATGGATGTGCAGGTTGTGCACTGCTCAAAGGCACCCAGTTGGGGGTGAATGGACTGTAATCCAGTCCTCCACTCACCTAAATCACCCAGGCTGGAAGTGGCTCTCTCTGTGGATCCTCTGAAGCTTCAGGTAACAGATTCCCCATAGCTCTGGCATCTGTCTTTGGCTAAGACAACCCAAGTTACCTATAGCCCAGACCTCTCAGTCAGGCCTGGGCCCAGGGACACATCACAAGTGGATGTTGCACAGGCCCGCCAACCTCCGCATGTCCCTGACCCAGTTTGCCACTCCTCTTGTGTTTCTCATCTGGCCCTTGTTTGGTTCACTCCATTAATTTACATAAAATTCCTTCAGAGCTGGCTCTGTGTCGAGATGCAGGTGTTTGGTGGTGGGAGACCACTTCTGGAGAGCTCTCAATCTCCAGCCCATGGACAAGGTCAAGGCCCAGTGCAGGCTCTGGGAGGCCTCCCCTCCCGGTGTCCCCCACCTCTCCCTGCGATGTCCTGCCCCTCAGCGGGGACGCGTGGGCCCTTTCTCCCACAGGCCTCCAGGATGGTGGGGGGGAAGCAGGGCTGGGGCTCTCTGTGGGAAACCCAAACTGGAGCGGCGGGAAGGGGAGGGTCCGAAGGCCTTGCCAGAGGGCCGGGGAGGGTGGGAGATGGAACCCTATGCTCTGCTGCCCTCAGGCTTCCCCGTCTTCCTGGTGACGTTGGTGGCACTGGTAGACAAGAACAACTATGGCTCCATCATCCTGGCTGTGCACAGGACTCCGGAGAGTGTCATCTACCCTTCCATGTGAGTGGCTGTGTGCAGCGGGGGCGGGGATAGGGGCCTTGGGGTGCAGAGGCCAGAGAGCGGCCTGGGCCTGGGCGACGCTGACCAGGGGACTCCTGGGTGCCGGGGCTGCTGGAGCCCGGCAGTGGCTGGAGGGTCAGCGAGGGTGAGCACAGGCCTGGATTTGCCCATCGCTCACCGGGTGACCTCGCGCAGCACCTTGGTTTCTTTCCTTTGTGAGCGGGAATATAGATTGGAGCGGATGAAGGCACGAATTAAAAAGAATTAAAAAGAAAATAAGCCCCTCCAGTGAGTCAGTCGAAGCTCCCTGGCTCTGGGGATCACCGTGGTGCACACCCATGGCCCAGGAAGCACGGTGCGGCCCCGTCGTGCGCTGAGCCCTCCCATCTCCGCCCGCAGGTGCTGGATCCGGGACTCCCTGGTCAGCCACGTCACCAACCTGGGCCTCTTCAGCCTGGTGTTTCTGTTCAACACTGCCATGCTGGGTACCATGGTGGTGCAGATCCTGCGACTGCGCCCTCACGCCCAGAAGTGGCCCCACGTGCTGACACTGCTCGGTCTCAGCCTGGTCCTCGGTCTGCCCTGGGCCCTGATTTTCTTCTCCTTTGCTTCTGGCACCTTCCAGCTGGTCGTTCTCTACTTCTTCAGCATCATCACCTCCTTCCAAGGTAGGCACGGAGAAGACCCCACCCCTGGCCCAGGCAGGGTGCCTGTATGTGGAGCACTGGGCAGGGAAGATCTGACCCAACCTGAAAGGTTCACTTCTCTGGGCCTCAGTCTTCCCATGCGGAAAATGGGGGCATCCTGGCCGTAGTTGACAAGTCTTTATTGAGTACCTACTATGTGTAGGCCCTATGTTAAACCTTGAACTGGCTGGGTCAGGGCCTTCCCTCCATGGAGCTCATCTCTGGTGGGAAAGACCAAGCATGACAAGAAATCATCTGAGGGGCCAAGCAGCCCCCTGCTTGCATGGACCAAGCAGCCATCTGAGGGGATCTTGGAGACTAGGGCAGTAACAGTGGGTGATGTGGTAGGCAGACCATCTGGGCTGGGGTGGGGGCCGCTTTGGGGAGGGTGGCCAGGGAGGCCTCTGTAGGAGGTATCTGAAGACAACGGAAGGGTCCAGCCGGGGAGAGATCAAGGGCCTTGTTACTCTGTGTGTGTTCCTTGCACTGTGGGCATCAACACTGTGGGAAGCCCGCTAGCAGTGTGGACGTGCCGAATCAGATCTACATTATAACAGAAGCCCAGAGTGGGTGTGCACGCCACAGGCTGAGGCGGTCCGGCCTAAGGAGAGTGGGCCAGGCTGAGGGAGCAAAGGTCTTGAGGCTGGAATTTGGTCGTGTGTTGAAAGAATAGTGAGGGGGAGTGAGGTGAAAGGGTTAGTGGGGGGAGGGGGCAGTGGGGAGGTGGTGAAGGGAGAGGAGCAGAGGGGCTGGGTCACAAGGGCCTGGGCCTGATGCCACAGGGTCCCTTCTACCTGCACCCCTCTACCATCCCCCGCCCTGCCACGACCGACCGACAGACAGACAGACACATACACACACACCCCCCTCTGTTCTGGCCGAGAGGTGCTTAAACGGGTAGGCTCTGGAACCTGAGCACCACTGTTTAACTCCTGCCTCAGCCAAGTCCCCTTATCTCCCTGGGCCTCAGTTTCCTCATTAGTGACACAGAAGAGTAACAAACAGGCCTGACCTCATAAGGATCTCGTGAGAATAACATGAGACGGGGCCCAGGGAATCACACGGTGTCTAACACGTAGCAGGTGCTCCCCTGGATCACATGGGTGCTGGTAGGCTGGGGAGGGAGGACAGAGAAGGGCAGGGCTGCCCCCAGCCTGCTGACCCTTGTGCCCCCCTGCTGCCCACAGGCTTCCTCATCTTCCTCTGGTACTGGTCCATGCGGCTGCAGGCCCGGAGCGGGCCCTCCCCTCTGAAGAGCAGCTCGGACAGCGCCAGGCTCCCCATCAGCTCGGGCAGCACCTCGTCCAGTCGCATCTAGGCTATCAGCCACCTTCCAGGAGCTGTGTGAGGAAACCGAGTTGCGGCCTCTCCTCACCGCCGCCCGCCGCCCCCGCAGCCAGGCCGGACACTTCAGGGTCAGCCGGAGACTTGAGAAGAAGGCCCAGGGACCTCAGAGTGAGGGGACGGTTGCCCTTGGCAGCCAGACCCCCAGGCTGGGCCTTCTGAATTGGCCTGCAGACTGCTCGGCTCTCAGGTCCAGCTCACACGGGGCTCAGGAGTGGGACCGTCCCGCTGCTGTCCTCGCTGGGGGCCGAAGGCTGTTCTTAAGTCACCGCCGCTGGGCCTGGCCCTCGTGGCTGGTGATGGGAGCCCTCACGGCCCGAAGGTCAGGTCCCGGGCCTGTGAGGCCCGGTGGCAACCTTGGTCTGTGCCCCCACCCAGGACAGAAATGTGCCATAGCTGATCTGTCTCTGGTGATCACCATGAGGGCGCTTGGCAGTCCTGTTATTTTAGCTTGAGAGTGGTACTCAGGGCATGTGGGGTTGGGGCAGAGCTTTGAGCCAGACCTCTGGAGGAGAGCCCCCTCCTGGGCAACATCGCCTCTACCTCGGAGCCCAGCGCCCTCCGTCATCCTCCCCAGCCCGCCCTCTCCAGCCCTCCACTCAGCCCCAGGGGGTCCCCTGGGGGCCCCCAGGCCCAATGCTATATTTTGGGTTGTGGTTTCCAAGAGCTGCCTGGTGCCTGCCGTAAACCTCTATCTACTGCACGGACTTTTGCCTGCCCTTGACTCAGGCAGAGTATAGACATTATGGGCTGGGACAGGTCTGTCTGTCCATCTGGGCCTTTCTATAAGCTGCATCACCCTTGCTCACCACTGCCAAGCCCATCCCTCACAGGGGCCCTCAGCCTCTCTCGAAGCCCTCTTGTGGCAAGAACGGTGGGGCACAGCAACGCAGAATTGTTTCTGCTCCAGTGCCCCAGAAGACTGAGACGTGCTTCCCCTGGTGACCCTGGCCTAGAGCCCAACGTGCTCCTAAAGGGTCAGAGCTACAGGTGTGGGGTTAGCAGAGCCATCGTTTCTTGCTGGGGACCCAGGAAGACTTCCTGTAGGAGGCAGCTTTTGATCTGGATCTCCGCCTTAAAGATGTGGAGGCCTTTCTTTTTAAGTACTGCTATCTCATTTGTCTTTTGAATTTAAAGAAGTAGACGTTTGTTGTAGAGAATCTGGAAACTGTAGAAGAGTACACAGAAGAAAATAAAAATCATCTCTTGTTATCACCTAACAAACCAATGTAAACAGTTTGGAGCACTTCCTTCTGAGCTTCCTTCTGTGCTTCTATTAAGAGTCACTGATACAAACATCCTGGGGCCAATCGGGAAACAGGAATGAGAGAAGAAGGCTGCGTGTGAAAAAGAATCAACCGCTGGAAACTTTACCCACCAGGATGAGTGGGAGATAAATGGTAACTTGGCGTCAGCTTTGGGGAAGCAGTGGGGGTTGCTGGGGTCTGTGGTGGATTAAAGATTACAAGCCCGATGCCGAGGGAGCCACTCAGCTCCAGTCGCCTACCACCACGCAGGGATGAGGGCCCAGGTAGCCAGACCACCCTCCTTTTATGATAAATGAGAAATCCAGGGGCGCCTGGGTGGCTCAGTCAGTTAAGCGTCCGGCTCTTGATTTTGCCCAGGTCATGACCTCACAGTTCATTAGTTCGAGCCCCGCGTCAGGCTCTCTCCCTCTCTCTCTCTGTCCCTCCCCTGCTTTCCCTGTCTCTGTCTCTCTCTCTCTCAAAATAAATAAATTAACATTTTTTAAAAAGGAAGAATAAAGAAATCCAGGCTGTGGGGGTACAGAATCCCCTGATTTAAAGATTAGGCTCATCCAAAAAATTCACTGGCCAAAAGAAATCAGCTTTGGGACTGAATTCAGCCCTTGGCTGGCTGCGTGATGTATGTAGCCAGTTTGTGGGCCAGTGTGTAGTTGATGGGCTGCAAGAAGAAATGATCAGACTTGCCTCCCATCACTACCTCCAAACTGGTTGCGTCCAGTCTGCTGTGCCCGTGCCATGGCACCGGAGAGGCAGACCAGGTAGGTTTCCGTCCCCACTCAGTAGAGAGCACTGGCGAGTGATCACTGCTGCTTGCATCCAGGTCTCATAGCCCAGTGCAGGTCCATCCCAGGCCCTCCCTGAGCTTCTGCCCTGCACAGTCTCCTTCCTTATCATCTGGCTGCTCCAGGGGGATCACGGGCTGGGAAAAATGGCACCAGGGTCTGGAGTTGGACGGGATGGGTACGAAGCCACCTTAGCCGCCGGGGGTAGACCGGTAGTGCCCTCTGATGGCATGAATGTGGGATCTGGGGACCTGCAGGGACCTCAGCACATGGGACCTCCTTGCACCTGCCTCTTTTCTGAAGCTCCTCTGTTCCTGTCCCCTCTCTCATTGTCGTCTGCCTCCACCTTTTGGCAAGTCCTGAGGACAGAGGGAAGCCTTGCCCGCAGTGACCTGCTTGGGCAGCTCAGGGGGGTCAGAGCCAGCTCCCTCCTCGCAGACTGCTCAGTCTCTCTGAATGAGGGTCACTTGGGGCCCCGTCACTTGGCTAGACCTGGGGGGGGGGCACCTTCCCCCATCCTCAGGAGGGAAAGAAAGGACTCAGCCCCCTTCCCCAGGCAGATGGCACTCCCTTCAAACAAATTCTCCCACTTCAGAGAATTCTTGAACATTCGGCTCTGGCTTTGAGGCTGGCTCAGGTAGCAAGGAGGGGCCTCTCGAGGGTTAGATCCCATCTACTTAAGACAGGTGCTAGATGGGCCCCCTGATGGTCCTTATTCCCTGGGCTGTAGGGCCTTGGACAGCAGGACCGCTGTTCTCAGATGGACATGACCAGGTTTGCGTGTGGAGACATTGCTCTGGCATGAGAAATGAATGGATGGAAGTGACTAGAAGGTGAACGCTGGCCAGGCCTGGCCAGGAGACTGGAGCCCATCTGGAGCCACGGGGACAAGCAGTGGAGGTGGCAGAAAGGGAAACTGCAGTTCCATTTGCCCTGGGCTTTCGGGATCCCAGGGCTTTGTCCATGGCTCCAAGGCAGTCCCCAGCCCCGGTGGGGCCCCAGAGGGGTAGCCCTCACTCTGGCCCTGCCCAGCCATCTTTTGCCACTTTCCTAGACCCCTGGTCCTGTCTTTCCAGGTGTGCTGGATGCTCTGGGTCCCTCCTTCTGGACCCTTCTTCACAAACAGGCACCTGTGAGCCCCTTTGAGGGCCCTGGCACCAGGACGGGTTTCCACTGGGGACCCAGCAAGTCCGCACTTCACAAAGCCCTTGTCCAGCCCTTGTCACCTGGCTGCAGCTGGGAGGGAGGCGGGACAGGCCCAGTGGTTCCTGTCTGCCCCAAAGCCTTCCCTGCAGAGGAAGTGCCTGGGGCTCCATGCCAGATTCCCACCTGTCACCCACCCCCCATGAGTGACCCCGACATCCTCTCCCCAACCTCCCCCCAGCCCCGCCAGGCCCACAGGGCCCAGTGGGGGACTGAATCCTGTCTAGACACTGTCTGGGAGGAAGGGGAAGGGGCCAGGGAGGTGGTCCTCAGACCCTCGAGGTGGAGCACATCTAGCTCTGGCCGTGAGGTAGGAGATGCTCGTCCTGATGCACCTTCTTGGTGGGATGCTCTCGGACTTTGATCTTGCAATGACCGTGGGACCATGCCAAGGGCCCTGGCCTCATC